TATGACAAACATTAATCATATATATACACTTACGAAATAAATAACAAAAAATACAGGATAAATTATTTCGTTTGTAATTTGTAGGCAAGTAAATATTTCAACACAAGGGATTGATCTTTATGCAATAGGTAAACCTACGGATTAATTTTCAGCGCAGTAGTAAATGACACAAAACCCATTGCGGCTTGGGTTTTGAGTTAGCATGCAATGAGCCGAGTATCCGAACTAGCTATAATAATGACCCAAGAGCTGGTGCTTTCCTGGCTCAACATAAGTATCGCAATAAAGCGAGGAAATGCTGCCAGGCGCCAGCGTACACTGCCACAGGGACCATACTTTTTAAATTTGTTTTAATTTTCTTTTTAATAATTAATTAATTAAATTATTTTTAATATTACTTTATAGGTTAAGAAAATTGTAAGTACAAATTATACCTATGTTGCATGATTAAATGATTAAAGTTGTATTTACTATATAACTATAAATTTTATAAGTCTAAACTAGAAAAATATCTCGCAAATTTAATAAGTAACGATAAAACAAAGCATTGCTATTTACATATTGGAGGCGCAAATATTTGTCATGATTTTTCTGACAGTTACATTGTGATTTTCGTTCGTGCGTTTGTGAGCTTATCTTACATGTATAAGATAACACAAACACAAACTTTACTTTACAAAAGTGAAATAAAAACTTCACTTAAATATTTATTTTTAAAAAGTCCACTCGCAGAATTATTTTTAATATTAAACTCAATGAAGACTGTCAAGGATTTCTTTTTACCAATTTCAGTTTGCGAAATAATTTTGGCGCGAAAACAACTTGCAACAGACCATGTGTGCAGTACACGTCAGTGGGGCACGATAGCGTCAGCGGCAGCTGGCGTTCGCGGTCAGAGGCAAGAGGTGCGGAGGAAGCGCCCTGGCCCGACGTCACTCTGACGTCACAGCACTCACGGCCGTTGCCTCTCAAGTCTCATGCAACCAGTGATAAACACACCTCGGCCACGGCTTCATGTCAGACATGCTGCGCGCTTAAATTATCGTCGAAAACCCATACTACCTCATGCATCTTTGCCTGTCACCAACACAATACAAGTGAGACCTAGTTCACCTATTTGATTCTGTTTATCATAAAGATTATACATGACCTCGGTGGCCTGTTACAGATGTCAGCCGTCGCCGCACGAGGAGCGGCGATTTTATCATATAATAGAAAATGACTGAAGGTCTCCGACAACAACATGAGAAGCCGGTGAGTGGTCGACGTATTATAGTCGCGTGCGCAAGTCACTTGTTTCAAGAAATCAGCGTAGCTAATATTAAAAACGGCATGTATGATATCACTTGGAAAGTCCAACGTGACAGCGCCTAAATAGGACCAATATTTACATTTTCCTTATCGTGCGAAGCACGTAGGGACGTTGACCAAATCAATTTAATATTAAATAAATGGTTTAATATCCATTTGTCGGACCGTTTAGTCTCGCTCGGCTGCATATCAAATGTAACTGGTTCCGATATGTAGTTATACGAAACACCTGCTAAGTGTTACTGTATAGCACGAGCGCCCTGAACACTTCCTTGTAATTAGATACATTCAACTTTTATCACAATTACGTAGCAGCATGATTAACATGTTAATTAATGCGCATCGCCGCTAATGTTAGGCAAAATAAACATGATAAGTGACATCTTTTGGACATATGTTTATTTACGAATCCTTAATAGTAGATAGTTTTTGTACATTTAGTATAGGTAATAAATTCTCAGAAACATTATTTATTTCGACATTGTTTTCAAGAGCTTAAATAAGTACATTTTACTAATATCATGTGTTGAAACGACTCGAACACAAATTTTTGATATAATATTTTCAAGTTATAATGCCTAATTCGGATTTGCACTGCAGACCTTGGACCATTTGTACATAATAAAGATGACGTGGACTATTAAAATTTAAAATAAACAATTGAAGCTATCCTTGTAAAGAATTGATATCATTAAATTATTCATGACGTGAGTTATAACACAACATTTTAACCAATTTAAATTTTAAAACGTTAAAATATCTAAATAAATGTTAATTTTTCATAAATTATAGAATCTTAAATCGAAGGTTTTCAGGATTCATACTTGTGTTAACTACAATCATCTTTGTCATATGATGGCTCCTAACCTCAAGAACAAATTTAAATTTATGGTCGCTTGCATGCCTTTGATCTTACATCGTGAAGGTTCCTGGTATCCCCCAAACATAATTTCGCATTTCTTGGCGAATCTAATAGGGTTTCCGTAGTAAGATTATGGAATTCACTTGCTGTATGATCTGTTTCTATCGGCGTAGCACCCATTATGACCTTTAAATTGCTTTTGAAGCATTCCTCCCTCCTCTCTAAATAATTTAGAATTTATTTATTTATTTTCTATTCCTACAGTAACTTAATACGAATACAATAAAAGAAAACTTATTAATATCAAAATTAAACTAAGAACATAATATTACATATAAACAAAATATAAAACCTAAACCTTTTTATAACAACCTCTAAGGACTATATATACTACCTCTAAGGACCATAAAAAAATAATGTGATAGTAAAGTCCCTCCTTACCTCTAACTTGTTGTATCCTACCATACCCAAGCCAAACAAAGTTGGATACATATCGGGGTAAAATGGATACACTCCATTTATCGTGACTCGTATCAATTTTAGTCATGCTTTGTCCATATTTGTCTTAATTTATTTTTATTTCTATTCTATGAGTTATTATCTATTATTTGTACTTATGCACTTCTTACGATATTCTATATTATTTTTCCTTACAGTTGAAGTTACAATCGCTTTAGTGCGATAAAGCCGCCCGTTGCCTAAAATTCTAATTGTACTAGTGTTGTAATGAAGTGTTCAAACAACCAAACGATTACAATTAATATTCTATGTATAAAAAAAATATATGCCATAAACTAGAGATGCATGAAACAAAATAAGTAAATTCTGTTTACTTAAAAAAAAAGAAACTCGAGCTAAAAATCCCCGATCAAACTGTTTAGAAACACATACCTATACATACTTTTACAAACAAAAATTATAATATAAACATTTAGGGAACTTTTTGGTTATATTCTTTTATTTATACAAATTTTTTTTTTGCTATTGGATTCCGATTTTAATTGTTTACTTATCCATAATCGCTATCTCTGTCATTAGTTGGGTGGTAGCTATGGAGATACCCACATAGAACCAAATATAAGTAACCATTTTCTCTATGATCATTACGTAATTATTTTGTCATTTAAAATAGTTTTTTTATATATTATGGCATATTTACAATAATTCATATTTTTTAATTCACTTTAATAATGTATTCTCTTTAGAGGTTGCTTGTACATAGATGATAGAGGGTCTTTAAAACTAACTACAGACTACGACACAATATTACATTTAGGTACAATATATTAAATCAAAGTGTAAATATCAATTGAAAAAACGTCAGTCTAAACGACATAGACAATACACATGCATTCTTTGAGTTACTTACGCATTATAAATATATTGAACTTTAATTTCGGCCAAACAACATCTTACGAAGAAAAAACTCGTCTCCGGATTTATACTTTAATTGGTATGTAAGAGATATAAAGAAATCAATTATAGAAATCTTATTCAATAATACATATTTGTTTGTATGGAAATTTTTCATAATTACAACCATTTTTTTTTGCATTCAAATAGTTTTAAGTAAATATTGGTTGATCTTGGTGCATTTACCGAACTTTACGCGTTTTTTTTCTGCAGTATTTGCTTATTTGTTAGCATACATCAAAGATCAAATTCTGTATCTATTAAGCCATTTGCGAATGATTGTCGTAGCGTCATTCGTTCTGTTGTGATGTAATATTATTAACAGCCACTCAGGGCCAAGGTCGTTTTAAACTTTCGTATTTGGTAAAGTAACCTAACTGCGTATACAGTAAACATTGAAGCTCGAATATAGTACTCTACTTGTATTTGTGTTGAAGTAATTTAAGTTGTAATTTAACCAGTAAACAGTAATTAATTTTTTGATGTTTTTATTATGTCTGCAAGTGGTGATTAAAGGGTTTCATTATTCAACGATGCGATGGTTGCCTGTTGGCTATTATTAGGTGATATAAATCAAGCTGATCGAATCAAACATTGACATTAAATTTACTGGTTATTTTAATCCCATTAACTGTGAATTTGTTTATTAACCAATACCCGAGTGACTTATAGCCGGCAGTAGATAACGTAACCCACTCGTATAGGTACCTATATTATTACCTAAATAATAGATAATAAAAAATGTGCGAATTCTTTAAGATTCCGATTTCAATAATCTATTCAACCATCTTCAAACAAACTTTCTAATAGAGGAAATTGTATAATACGCCACTTTTCTAATAGGCAAGTAGATGACCAACGTTCAGCGTTGCGATTCTGTAACTCACTTTTCGAACTCTCACACAGCGGTTTTCGCAGCGGCGGTCGCGCCCAAATCAGTCAAAGCAGTTTTACGATTTGGCATTCTGATAAACAATAAACTACAAGCTCCCTCCTTATCGCAAGGCTGAGCCTGACACACTCTGCCGACATTTGAGCCTAAGGCATGCCGGTTTCCTTCACCTTAGAAGCGAGTGGTAAATGCGCACACAGACAGAAACTGCATTGGTGCACAGCCGGGCATCAAATCTACGACCCCAGGGATTAGAGTCGCATGCTGACTTCACTAGGCCAATACTGCTCTTATAATCGGTTGTAAAGATAACGAAAATCATGATTAATATATCTATTAGTTTTTCATTTAGTGATGAGAATGCTGACAAGGCGCGCCAATTTCAGGCACAATATGGGTGGCGAATGGCGATTGTGAATCAACATCAAATGAGCCGTTCACGTAAACCAAAAGTATGTGCGATTATAATTGCACTGCAACTGCTGCTATGGGTTATAACTGAAATAACAGATATTATTTCAGATGTGTGTGCGCGTGTGGTTAGAGGTCGGTCATGCGTGTGAGCCGCGTCGCGCCGCATCGGGTCGCGCGTTGGCACTCGACTGGAGCGTGTACGTGCGCGGCGCGCGCGGCACCGACATTAGCGCCTTTGTGCACAAGGTCGTCTTCCACCTCTACCCGGCTAGCGCCTTCGTCTATCCTAAGAGAGGTAACGCCTGTTTGAATTCAATTCATATTTATCTCAAGTATTTGAGGCTACTAAACGGTAAAACAGTCCTGCTCTGTTATTTCAATGCGTGTGTAGTATTCAGCTAAGAACAGGTTCGCGGCCGAACCTACGACCTCGGAAACGTTTGTCGTAGGTAAATTATTGATAAAAATAATATATAATATTTAGTGTATTGTTAATATCAGTCGTTGCCACAGCGTCATGCATTAAAAATTAATTATTTCAAAACACCGCGACCGATTAAATTTTCTGCTCATAATAATATTCACTTGCGGTCTAAGCGACTGGACCGGCAAGTTAGCTGACAGAATCAAGCGGAACAGGTTTTTGTCTAATAAGTATATGATGAGAAGTTAACTTTGAATATCGAAGCGAATCATGCTTATAGTATTAAAAACAGTCGCATGATATACACACGCTCATTATCGTTATCTCGCGTGTGTTGATAGTTGCCACGCAAATAACTTTAAACCCGTTATTACAAATTACTTAATGAAACATTAAACTGTTCCAGTACTTCAAGAGCCGCCGTATGAGATCCAGGAGTCGGGCTGCTCCTCCATTGATATCCCGATACACGTGTACCTAAAGTATAGCACTAAACCAAAGAGAATACGCCTCAGATACAGTTTGCACATAGAAAATAACAACGAGGCTAGTTCGGAGTCGAGGTGCCTTTATTACGACGTAAACAACCCCTCGGAGCAGCTATACAACGCCTTAATGAAGGGCGGCGGTGAGGTAATCGCACGAACCAGCTCCGCAGATGCCAGCCACAAGCTTCTTGTGTTGCTCGATGAAGAGAAGAAAGACTTGAAAATACCACGCTCTAAAAGGTACAAGTTTGTGGAGCCACTTCGATGTAAACACGCGCCAAAAACCAAATACATTCTTGAAGAAATATGTCCCAAATGTGGGGATTCAATTAATGCGGGTTTTAGGAAACAGTTGCGTGCTGTTGATATGACACAAGACGAAATTGAACGAGTCTCGCACTTGTATTTGTCATTCAATAGTTACGAGAAGTCCTTGAATGCAATTAAGTTGCCATCGTTTTCCGATCCAATTTATAGAGTGCCAGAACTACCGATATCCCTACGCGGTGCTCTCCGAGATGTGAAAACGGATTATACGGTGTTATGACGTGCCTCGCTTTCGACATATTTGTGCCATTGGAATATAAATATTTTTTTTTCACACGATTGTATGTGCAAATTTGAGAAACTAAACTAGAATTTATTTACACGTTTTAATATTACCCTTGTGGATATAGAATATTTTTTTATACTTTACCTAGGACCTAACATACGAAATAGGTATTGTTTGTTAAATAATTTTTAAAGCGTGCTGTGATGAAGATCTCAGAATTATTTACTTGATAAATAGTTTATTTTTAATAAACATTATATTAATGTAATATTATGAAATTCTTAATATAAATAAATTCAAGAAAAAATATATTGTGTACTGCTAAATCTAACGAATACCTACTGAAATATGTTTGTGCTCAAAAGTCAAATTATTATGTATTGTAAATAAAATATCATACATTTTACAATTATTACAGGGTACTTTTACGTAAATTTTAGGGTAAAACTAAATGCTTTTTGTTTTTATGGTAAGGATTTTGTTTTTGTTATTAGAAAATTATCATTTCGAAAATAATTTATGGTTACGATAATTTGGAAAGTTAAATGTTTAAGTTAAAATTTTTGTAGTCCTTAGTTATAAGATCTGTTGTTTTATTTATTTTACCGGAGACTCCAATTTTATATTTCTATAAGAATAAAAAGTTTTTCGTTGCGAATAAATTATAAAACGTTTATTTATTTTGTTTTGTATCTATTCCATAGTCTTAAGTCAAGTTAAGCCCAGGCAAGCGAAGACTTCAAAAATAATATTTTTTGTCGGAAATGTCGTTATGATTCAATTTTAATGTTTATCGTACTCATGATGGCAGGTTTCATATTGAAGTCGGTGAAAACCTATTTTTTTAGTATTAGATATGCTATTGTAGTCAAGTGTCAACAAAAATAAAAGAAGGCGCTCTTCGGCTTTAATTATTCGGACGCGGATCAAAGGACGGAAGGGGGGTGTGGCGAAAGAATCAACCACACTTTCGCGCTCGCTCCCTTTGTTGTTAACATAATGACGCGCGCATTTTTTTTATAATCTCAGAGTGGATAAAAAAATGCGCGGTGGAGTTGCTCTGTGTGTATTATGGAATTTTATTAAATGAAACTAATCATTTAGAATCAAAAAGTGGGATGGGATAAGCAAAGCTAACTAAATATTATTATATTTAAAAAATGAGACTTAGAGCCTAGAGGACACATGAGAAATAAAGAAACCTTAAATTAATTTATATTTATACTGGCATATTATGTATATAATATGCCAATGTATAAATAATAATAGGGTATGACTTAAACCGCTACAGTGCATATACAAATATCCACCAGTATAGTCACTACCAATCCATTCTTGAGTGGTTATCAAAGAAACGAGTGTGTACAGTAAATAATAAGGAAATACATAAGTATATATACATAATAATAAAACGTAGAAACTGTGTAAAAAATAAAACTCTATACCTTGCTATTTGGCTCTAATAAAGAAGTTTAAAGTTTAAACAATTGTAACTTACATAATATATTTTAGTCAATTTATTGTTCATTTGTTTTTCGATTCACTATTTCGTTCACGATTTCTATCCAGTAGAAATATCGTAGCTTTGCATGCAAACCAAGTACTATGGTATATATCTTCAGCACCTGAAATTAAAGTGTTTTCTAGAATTAGTAGGGTTATAAAACTATTTAAACAATTACCTACCTTTTCCTTTTACCTTTCCTGGTACCTGTATGTTATGATGCTCTGGATGAGCTGTGTACCACAACACTGGTTTTTCTCTGTATTTTTCTAAAAAATGCTGTTGGATGCTGTTGCGGCTGCCTCGATTCTGCAGCGCATCGGGGTTGTTCGCTGGGGCGTGGGTGGATTGTTTCTACGCCACCATGCGCAAGAGATATGCATCCTTGGTGCGCAGGGTGCGAGCTAGCGGTAACAGCATCCTCCGCATGATCGCGGACCGAGTCGATTGCCCATACCTCAATCACTGTTCCGCCATTTCATGCGGAATGATTCAGGTATGAACAATTGAAGCGGTATTAATGTTTTTAATTACTCCAATTCCTGTATTTTTGTGTGTTCTAATATGTAAACCTACTAACCCTTAGACTTAAGTCATTAAGTTGTAATTACTAACATAGTTATGGAACTTCAACCATGTTTTCCGAAGTATTTTTTTTTTATATACTTACATATTTTTTATTTTATAACGACTGCCAACCTAATTAAAATGATAATAATAATCTCCACATTAAGCAATAAGATGGTTTGAAAAATGAAAGGAAAGGACTAAAATATTTTACATTTACTAATTTTTCGCGTCCATTCTATGCTATTCCGTGTTCATGTAGTACTCTTGGTAGGCACTATGTACATGTGGGCCTAGGCGGCTATTAGGCTGGCAGCATACGTACGGTTTCCTCATTAGGTTTCCTGATCCGGAATTCAGATTAGGTTTTCGGTGATCCTAGCGCAGACGTTAGGTTTTTTGTATTCGGAAATTCGGAATTTATGCCGCCAGTGGGTATAGTAACGCTTTCGTGAAAGCACGTATCATGGACATGGTCGACGAAGAATTAATTGGGATAGCACTTTTATTGGCGCTAAACAAGAAAAAAAGGAAACGTCGTTATTGGGTCTACTACTATTGTGGTAGTTTTCATGATGAATATCCCATAAGCACGGGTATTTTTCTACTGCCATGATCAAATCTTCGGACTCGCACATAATTAAAACAAACGTAAAATGAAAAAAAAACTAAAAATATAACACACATACGTCCACTCGACACGAACGCGAGCCGATTCTGAATGGAAATTTCCATTTTATGATTTTCCGTCCGTTTGCTGTCATTCGAAGCAATGGTAAGCAAACGCTGCGTTCGGGATGACGTCATCCGGTTTTTTTCCATTCGGACACCCGAACGCGCGACCATAGATTCGAACCGTACGTTAGGTTTTTTTCCGTGCGAAAAATTTAAGAACGTTTGCGCCGAGTAGAATATTTTGTATATTGTAGGCGTTGGGTTATCTCCGCCAAAAAAGGACAATATCGGTTGGCTAAAAACGTTTTTAGCTTTTCGATGATATTATTATTATCATATAATATAATGTAAAATAGAGATTGGTCTTTTATTATATTATGTGAGATTTTTACCTGGTATTTCAACTACTAATCTGAAAGTTAAAAATAATAAAGTTATAGTCTGTGTTATGGTTAGAATTTGAGTTTGACAATTACTATATATATGGACAATTGGCATTATCAAAATTCGATGGGGACTTGTCATTCACTTCTAATTTCTGTCACAAATCACAATAATTGAAAATTTTGAAAAAGCTTAAAAATATGAATTGCATTTCACAAAATCATTAACGTCACAGCCAAAACGTGCTTAGTAATTGTCTCTAAATCTATTAAATTATTTCATATAGATATTAGAACGCGAGGGAAAGGGAATTCTGAACCCAGTTGAAAGTATATAGGTAATTCAACAAAAATGGTTTGTGTCCCATGCTTCATAGTTCCAGTTCTGCTATTCTTATGGCACAAGTTTATTCAGCCTTACGTTTTACGTTTTTGGAACCCATGGGCTGTCAAAAATGCGGAAGGAAATACTACAACTGAATTCCCATTTAAGTGTGAAGGTGGTGTTTGTGCGTTTAAGAAAAATAAAGTTGCTGACAATGTTGACAAGGTACCTACTGCCAACGTATCCAAAATTGAAAAAACTCCAGATGTGAGGCTTAAGTCGGAATAAAAATAACTGTGATAATTTATTATTTATACTAAATAAAATGTTTAAAGACCATTCATAACATACCTTGTTTTTATTGTTAGAGAAAAAGAAAATATTGATATCTACACTAATAATAATACTGACTGTGATTTAAATTTGTAGTTTTATTTTAATTTATTGAGTACTCCATAAAAAGCATAGAAGTACCTAGCAATGTTTGTTATTGTCCATTATAAATAAATGAATAATATAATTCTACAGAACATAAGTAGTAAAAGACTATTTTTATATTTTAGTCTGCAGATAGCATATAAAATAATTAGGAACCTATTGAAGATTGATACTCAAAAAATAAGAGAAGTCACTTATTATCATGAATGTATCAAAATAGGTGTAGTTAGTACATGTAAGGCTCTTAACTAGAAATCATGGAGGCTGCATATTTAAATAAGGTTTGTAAGAAAATAGAATAGATTTCATCAAATTTATTTCCACTTAGTTTATGTCAATCAAGAGTAATTAGAGCATTACATTAACCAATCAGTTAATGACAACAGATTTTAGACAGACAAATACACCAAAAAAAATAAGCAAATATGAACTTAAACAAAAGCACTTTCTGTATTTTAAGACATATAAACTAGCTACACTAATGTCACTTTTTAAGGTTCTTTTCCAAAACTGAACATACAAGTCTTCAGTATTGACAAAATAGGAATTGACATTCATCTGGAAATCTATGTACTTACAGTTTTCAAGATTGTTATGGTATAAAGAAATGAATCACTTAAAATAATGATTATGTAAAACAAGCTTTCACACTTTACAAGATGACAAATGGCAACTCTGGAACGTTCTCCACACTATAGTGTGTCAATATTATATAATAATCAAACAGTAACATAAAACACGGAATCTTAACTTTTTATTTAACATTCTTAAGTTCTACTTCAAAAACTAGTGTTGAATTTGGTGGAATAACTGGAGGTGATCCTTTAGCACCATACCTAAAAAAGAAATGAAATTTTACTTTTTACTGAAAAAGAAACCACAAAGGTTAGTCGAACTAGCGTGGTTAGCAACCAAGTTTCCTGACAATTTAAACAATCAAAAGTTTACAATATGTAAACTGTATAGTACAATTTGTTAATTACAATATGTATAAACTGTTTTCTCTATGTTAAATTCTTTTAGTCTTTATTATATTATATAATTATATTTCGGAAACTAGGCCTAAGCATCATATTAATTAATACTCACGCCATAGCAGGCGGACAGACGATTTTCCTCTTGCCACCAACTTTCATACCAGCAACACCAACATCCCATCCTGCAATCACCTCTTTTCCACCTAATCTGAACTTAAATCCAGGTCCCTTTACACAGTTGTCAAACATCTTGTTGTTTTGTTTTAATCTTCCTTCATAATACACCTAAAAATTATATATAAAGTATTATTTTATTGATCAAGTCATATTAAGCGTTTTTAACAGATATCACACAATTTTGAGATTACCCACCATTACAGTTTTGCCAGGTTTAGCTACAGGTCCAGACCCTACTTTAACATCTTCAACGAAAACACCACCACTAAGGGATTTCTTTTCCTTTTTTTCAGTAGCAACTACTGGAGACTCTTTTTCTTTTTTGCCTTCTGGCTTCTTTTTTTCTTGTTTTTGTGCCTCAGGTTTTTCTTTCTGCAAATGCAAATATAAACAAAATTGTAGTATTCAGATAGAAATTTTTTTTTTGGAATTTCTTCATTTTACAGGTAGTTAATATTTTATATAGTTACCTTAGCCTTATCAACACCATTCTCTTGCCCTTGCTTTTCTTTCTGTAGTTTCTTTTTCAGGCGTTTCTTTTGGTTTTTGGTGAGCTTACTCATGTCAATCTGGCTATCATCCTTGCTTGTGTCCATAGACGATGCTTTGGATGTCTCAGCTTCATCTTCCTCATCCTCTTCTTCCTCTTCCTCTGCTTCCTCTTCATCATCATCACTCTCCTCTTCATCACTATATGATTAAACAAAAAATTATTACAGACATCAGTATATTATTATTTATAAAGCTGGCACTGCATGATCATGATAATAGATGTAAATCAAAAATTGTTATTCTACCTGTCAGCTTCTGCAGATGTATTCACTTTGAATGACTCATCATTTTCATCGCTATCAATATCTTCACCATTAAGGAACTTCTGCAATTGGTCATTGTTTTCATCTGAGTCTGAACTATCATCAGCAGCAGTTGCTTTTTTGCCCTTCTGTGTATTAATAAATTTGTTAGTTATAAATCTGGTATATATCATAAGCTAGTACAAGAGACTTCATTGTAGCAAAATTTTGTTTTCTTATACTTCCTTACGAAGGGTTGAATGCTATTGTGGAAGCGGATAAATTGCAAACTACGTCTGAGTCTGTTGCTGGGTTAGTGATATAACTGTATTAATCATCTTGAGGCAAATTGGAGAGATGAAAAAGCTTGGAAGGAAGGTACATCATGAATTGAGTGAAGAAAATCAATAAACGCGCTTCGACATTACTCAACCTGCAGAACAATGAAGGGACTTTAAATCGAATCATTACCTATGATGAGTTGAGGACCCTGTACAATAATTTTTAAAGTTTCTTTAATTAGCTCCTATGTTAGGTCCATTAGAAAAAATTATGATTCAGTAAAGAAAGCAATTCTTTAAATGTTTAGCATGTATTTTCTCAATAATTATAAATATGGATTCTATTATTTACAACTACCCACTAACAAATACTTTAGCAAATTTACTCCTTCATTATCAACTGTGAAAATAATGTAGAAATGCATCTACCATTTGCACAAAATGTAAAAGTACATTTCTGTGAAGAAATAGAAATAGTGCATTAAGTATAGTACAATGTCTAATGTAATACTAATACCTAACATTGCAAATCTCTTATCATCAAATCAAATAATACACTGCACATAGTTCTAATTTTCTGTTTAATTTTACAAAAAATATCCTGCGACTAAGGTTTAGGTTAATAAAAAATACCTAACCTCAAGTTTTGTAACTCGGGTTTCATGAATTCTTGAGAACGATTATATAAATTGTACATGTTTAATTTAGTTTACCTTCAGTTTTTTAGCTTGTGATTCACCATTAGGTTCTAACTTCCTTTTGTTTTTAGCTGGTTTTGCTTCCTGTTGTTCCTCTGATTCCTCCTCTTCCTCTTCTTCACCTTCCTCCTCAGATATTTCATCATCAAATTCAGGATCCACATATCCGGTCAAATGCACATTGCACTTTCCTAATCATTATTAATATTTAAATAACACAATATTAACCAATAAAAAGTAATATGAAATCCCCAAAATTATCTTACCATTAGTCAAAAAAGCTACATTTTCACCAGTCTTGAAGTATAGGTCAAGAGGCATCTGAATAGACTGTTTCTTTTGTAATGTGCATACTAAGAAATTTTTGCCATCAACAACAATCATTACTTGGCATGGTTCATTGTCTCCAGTTGATATGTCCATAGCAGCGTGTGAGATGTGGAACGGCTTATCCACGATTTGTGTATACCGCTTGTTTGGTTCCATAATTAGTCCTATAAAGTTACAAAAGATAGTATATGTAAGAAACAGCATATAAAGCATATACGTGGAGACGAATGACTATTTCGGAATTTAGTTTCATATATATCAGAAATTATTAATTATGATATACAATCTTTATTCCTGTAAACAATTTCATTGAAGGCTATTGAATATAGGAAAATATCTTATATATATTACCTCACAAGAACGTGGTGTGTGGTGGTAGACATTTTAGTGAAATAAGCATACGATGTTAAAAGGATTATAAATAAAATCCATCAACTAAAACTACTTTCAAAATCAAAATTCAGTTGCTTTAATAACTTATTTAGAAATAAAAAACTCATGCTGAGTTTTTATGAGACACGTGGTGGTAAGGTTGCCGGTAGCACATTTATGACTCTATAACTTACCCCAAAACATTTTGCTGATTGTGTATCTTATTTTCAGTAATTAAAAGAATCTACGGCTAACGATATTCTTTTAGTAGATAAATATTTTAAGGAACGTTAGAAGACTAGCCGTTTCAACGCTTGTATCTTGAAATGTGCGCAAGCCTCAAATCTCAATCACCAATGTCGGCCCGCAGATTGCGCGCTTGCTCCTTGCCACAGAATATTGTTATAATCGTTTATCGTACTTCATATGCAGATAATGGTAATTCCATCTCGGTATGACACAAAAATTATAATCGACTCCAAAACGCACTAATAATATTTTTTTATTTGCAATGATTGGTTTTGTTAACTGATATAGACAATTATATTATTAGCTGGAGCCAAATCATTAAATGTCTACATAATACGGTCGTAACTCGTAACTGTCAATTTATACGTCAATCGCTAAACAGTGATCGAAGGTAAAGTCTTAAGTCACTAGTAATGATAAGATTCAGCAATGAGACCGCGAATTTTAACGTACGGAAGCCAGGCTTAGCGCTAAGTCTCTCCTGAATCTTACCCTAGGAAACGGTGAGGTGAACTTTTTTAACTAGAATCAACAGTTGTTCGCTGTTGAAACCTTTTATTTTATTTTAGCGAATGATTTAATATATTATGTTAAGTAACCTGTAACAGAATAAACGCAAAGAAACGCCTAAAACATATTATTCCATGGACTGTTGAGTCGACAAAGACAGTCTATTAAATGTTTGTCCATTCATTTAATGAGATAGTTATCAATATCGCTAGAACTATAAGTACTATGCTACTTCATAGCTAGAAAGGTCTTGTGCCAGCAGTTATCAGCTTCACATTAACAAATTATGTAATATACTGACGTGGGTTCACAAATGTTGGTTTAATAAGAAGGTTACACACTTGCACACGTACAGAACTACGAATTTCAGATCATTAAAACTATGGGTCCGATTGTCATAAGTTGTTGTAGCTGCAGTGACTGCGTACCTGGAAAGCAGCCACTAATAAAACTACTTACTCCATAGAATGCTCGGTGAGAGTGAAACGCTTTGCTCCAACTGCTTTCCATGTACACAGTACGCATTAAAGTATTGAAAATTTTGTATTATTTTATTAATACCACTATGTAAATGATGGTGTCCTATTTCTCCGAACAAAATAGAAGATCCTCAACCAGTTTAACCACTGTTTGACTGGCCTGGAAACCCGAGAGATTAATATCCAACAACTGTAATATCCTTAGCAGCCAGAAAAACTTTGTTAGCGAATTTCAGGCTATGTCGTCATCGTAATGATTTGAAGGTGCAGGTTGCAGGTGCGAGTTGTGACTGCACCACTATTCGCTTCCGCTAGCGACGGTGAGCGGTTTAGATTTATCTTTGTCTCTTCATCTTTTTAGTGCATTGAAATGTTACATTTGCTTTACATTTATTAGAAGACGCAATTTTATTTATCGGACATGTAGGGGGGGGTCTATACAAGGTTAAACCCAAGTTTGTGGGGTTGGCACCCTTGTCCCCGGGCCACCATCTTGGAAAAAGGGGTGAAAACAAGTTTTTGGCTATATCTCCTAAACTATCCATCGTACAAAAAAAAATTAAAGACATATTTTGTAGCAAATCGCTTTGCCTACATGTCTATGTGACTTTTTATCATAAAGCCAAAAGTTATAAGTAAAAAAATGAAAAAAAATCCTTTTTTGCTCCATAACTTTTTTACCCCAAAACAGTCAGTAATAAATAAGTAAAATTGTTGGAATTGAACAAAATGGACATTTCAATGGACTTTTTATTTTAATAAACTGAAAAAAATCCAAGTATGTAATGACATCTGAACTCTTTCTATGGGACCAATTCGCAAATATATCTTCTCTTTTTCTTCAGTGTTATTGGATCACGATTCACGTCTGTCTCAAAGTGACTTTGTCTCAAGCCCAGATTATTAATATTATATATCTGTACAGTGTGTGTCACTTATTTTTAGGTTGACAGTGACATATTACCATAATGTCATCTCATGACGATTGAAGTTTGAACCTTGAAAACAATCCATCTTTTCGTGAATCTGTCAAGTTAAAGCTGCAGGTTTTTCACCATGGTAATGCATTTTAAAATTATTATCTTTTAAAATCAAGTTAATCTTATTAAGAAAGTATGGTTTAGGTTTTAAAACGTATTTCCCGGTTTCATTCTATCACCCAAAAGATGTATTTTACCTTATTATTATTTTCTTTTAGGGTCGCGTACGTACCAAAACTGTCAAAAAAGCTGCAAAAATCATTATTGAAAAGTACTACACTAGACTCACATTGGATTTTGATACAAACAAGAGAATATGTGAAGAAATAGCTATCATACCCACCAAGCCTCTTCGTAACAAAATTGCTGGGTAAGTTCTCTTTCTAACCTCAATCCAAGTTTCTTTTATTATAATTTGGTATATTATCTTACTGAAATTAAATAAAACTTCGATAGAATCATAGGGTAGTATTGATTAATTTAATTGCTTAATCAATAATTATGTATAATTTATGACAATGCATGAAAATAAAGTAAATAAATATTCCGTAGATATGTTTATTAATCTAAACGGAAATTTTTCTCGTAGGTATTCGCAACGTACTACATTATTGCCAAACTTAAACACAGCACATAATAACTGTTAATTCTCATTAAAAAAGTGTTTTTTTAAATCAATAAACTAGTAATAATTTTACTACAACTTTAAAAACTTATTTTTTACAGAATTAAATTCTGAGAAATTTCAAGACTGAAACAACTTAGCCAATAAATAGAATAATAATTTTAAGTGAGGTTATTTATGGATAATACTGACAAAATTCATAACTATTGTATTTAAGTATATTTAAAAGACAATAATTTATATATAACAAAATGTTGGCTTAAAAGGTTTATGACTAAATCTTTTTTAATCAATTTAGATATGGGTGATCATTTTATTAAAGCTCATTGTCTTGTTGAATGTGTAGTTTTACTAATTGATTTAGTTTAAGGAACATTAATACCTGCATTTTGTGCTGTGTGCTTAAATTTATGGAACTTACCATTATTTTCAGGTTTGCCACCCATTTGATGAGACGTCTCAGACATTCCCAAGTACGAGGTATCTCCATCAAATTGCAAGAAGAGGAGCGTGAAAGACGTGATAACTATGTCCCTGAGGTCTCCGCCTTGGAACATGATATCATTGAAGTTGACCCTGACACCAAGGAGATGTTAAAAATGTTAGATTTTAACAACATTAATGGCCTTCAACTCACCCAACCTGCTACACAGGGTGGATATGGTGGTAGACGTAATTAAGGATAATAAACATTAATAAAATATTACTGTTGTTTAACTATTAACAAACATTAACTTACATATTTTATCAAAAACTAGATAATGTACTATTACTTAACTTTTTTAAATAATGGTACAGTTACAGTATGCTTTTATTATTGCAATTCTCTTGCAATGTTACCTACACATTTATTTATGGGTTGATGGGCTGGAACTAAAGTTTCTCTCAAAGCTATGGCATCAATAGTGCATTTTCAACTAGAAAGTTTTAAGACATACTTAAAACAACAACGTTTCCAGTTAAAACAGTATATTGAGTGTATATTAACATGTTATCAGGTCATGAAAAATAATATGTAAAAAAGTATTAGCAAGTGTACATACTTCCCTACTATATCATTATTCTCTTTGGTGTATTTTAGCAAAACCATCCAAAAAGATGTTTAAAGGCATTGATTATTTGATGAACTTATTGTCTAAAATTTATATAATAATTTTGTTGGCAAATTTCTATTTTCATAGAATATATTTTATATAATAATATATATATTTAAAAAATAAAAATGCTCTGTTTAAATAAACCTCAATACATTCGAGAGCACTCCCAATTTTTTTTAATATGTTTCCAAAAATTTATATTTTAGTATATTATAATATAGGTGTTTTTGGTTCAATCAGTTTAATTTAATTCTTATTTAGTAACACATGGGAAAAAAGCAAAAATATTATTTTTTTACAATGGCAATGTCAGTCATGTCAATAACTTGTAGAGGGATACATATTTTTTCATCTTTCTTTTAATGTTAGAATATTTCATCGCGCTTAAGAATGGTTATTATATAACTAAACTGTATTCAATTCTAGTAAACATATAAAACAAAGTACGTCTGTAAATAGTATAGTAACTGTAAATATATTATATGTAGGGATGTGAAAAAATCGATTATTAAAAAAATCGATTTTAATCGATTTTTTTAAAAGTAAAAATCGATTTTTTTACGCGATTTTTAAAAACGTAAATGATGTAAACTTCTTACATGAAACTAAATATTTTACTGTTAATTTAGCTTGTTAAAACCTTATATTCGGTAACAGTTTTGAATACCATCGCACTTTTTTGACGATACTAATTATTTAGGAGTCTCGGAGGACCTTCATTGGAACACCTCCAAGTGAGTTTTGCTCCGGAAACGCGTCAAAAATTTTATAAAGATTTATAAAGTAAACTTTGCACTGTAAAACTAATTACCGCTAGTCTAGCATAAACCACATTCAAAATGGCCGATTAAGTTTATAAAATTAATAGGGATGTGAAAAATAATCGATTTTTTTAAAAGTGAAAATCGCTTTTTTTGTATTCGATTTTAATATTAAAAATAATTGAAAATTCGGCGACCAAATATTCATATACTAACTCTAACCTAACCAATCTAAATAATATTTGTTTTTGTGGACAGCTCCGATCTAAATAGTAATTGTTTATTCAAGCCTCGGCTTCTCGGCGTCCTGGTCGCCTTCGGCGACCAAATATTCATATACTAACTCTAACCTAACCAATCTAAATAATTTTTTTTTTTTTGTGGACAGCTCCGATCTAAATAGTAATTGTTTATTCAAGCCTCGGCTTCTCGGCGTCCTGGTCGCCTTCGGCGACCAAATATTCATATACTAACTCTAACCTAACCAATCTAAATAATATTTGTTTTTGTGGACAGCTCCGATCTAAATAGTAATTGTTTATTCAAGCCTCGGCTTCTCGGCGTCCTGGTCGCCTTCGGCGACCAAATATTCATATACTAACTCTAACCTAACCAATCTAAATAATATTTTTTTTTGTGGACAGCTCCGATCTAAATAGTAATTGTTTATTCAAGCCTCGGCTTCTCGGCGTCCTGGTCGCCTTCGTCGACCAAATATTCATATACTAACTCTAACCTAACCAATCTAAATAATATTTGTTTTTGTGGACAGCTCCGATCTAAATAGTAATTGTTTATTCAAGCCTCGGCTTCTCGGCGTCCTGGTCGCCTTCGGCGACCAAATATTCATATACTAACTCTAACCTAACCAATCTAAATAATATTTTTTTTTGTGGACAGCTCCGATCTAAATAGTAATTGTTTATTCAAGCCTCGGCTTCTCGGCGTCCTGGTCGCCTTCGGCGACCAAATATTCATATACTAACTCTAACCTAACCAATCTAAATAATATTTGTTTTTGTGGACAGCTCCGGCGCTACGGGAAATGCAGCCCCTCCATCCTTGCGTACCAAAGCACAGGCATTTTATTCAAGCCTCCGCAACCTCGGCTTTTTGGTCGCCTTCGGCGACCAGCCTCAGCCGCTACAGCTTTCATAATGCCTGTGCTTTGTTACAGCGGGTGGGGGCTGCTCTTCCTCCGCGCCTCCGATTATTTATATACACTCTAGGGGTAAGACAGACAAGACCACGTGGATAGTGGGGTGCTCTGATTCGGTTTTGGGTACTTTTTGGATATTAAAGTAAACACTTTATTCTAGTAAAAATTAAATAATATAGAAAGTTGCAAACAATGAAATACAAGTACTAATTAGAAAATACAGACGAGTAGGTATCGATAATTTCAAAAAATTTCGGAACCCTATAATCTATCAACACGAAATTAGGTTAATTTCAATGTTGATTATTCTATAACTTTAAATTTCAAAAATGAGGAAATAATCGATAAATAAATAAAACGATTATTAACAATCGATAAATTAAAAACACGATTTTTTTAAGTGAACGTCACATCACTTATAACCAATAGAAAAGTAGAAAATGGCGGATTGTTTACAAATTTTAATACATTACACAAAACTTTAAATTTTTTATAAAAATATTTAGACGCGTTTCCGGAGCAAAACTCACTTGGAGGTGTTCCAATGAAGGTCCCCCGGACACTCCTAGATAATTAGTATCGTCAAAAAAGTGCGGTGGTATTTAACACCCAACCCTTATATTCTTTAAAGGTTTTCTCTTATTTCAGTAAAAAAAATTTAATGAAATAATTTGATTATTAAATTAGGCGTAAAAAGTTTTCAACCACCACTTAATTAATTTAATTATTGTTTACCACATTATTTATACATTAATGAGGTTGCTAACTCTATTCAGACCAATTTTTTTGTCAACACTGACTTAGCGCACTCTGCTGATGCATTTGAAAACTAATTCACGTTCCAATTGAAGCATTGGGTGCAACAAGGGCGTATGTTGTAAAATAGAGTTTCGAGAAAATTGATAATGAAAGTTTCAATGTCTTATATTTTTTAAATACTAATAATTTGACTTACATTTACTTTATTATTTATTAGTCCTATTATTAAGCAAAACGATTAAGGTATTATACCTATTTTAAAGTAATCAGAAACATCCTAAAATCAAGTTTTTTTTTATTGCGTTATCCGCCCTTGTTGCACCCAACTGGTAAAATAGGTAGGACGTTAATGTTACTATTGATTTATAGGGAAAATAAATAACAATTTGAATACCTATGTCATTATTTTAAATTAAAATGTAAATTAAACAAGTGTATTTATTACAATCACCGTTTAAATATTCAACTTAATACTTTTTTTCTGGCTTTCGTGTGTTTACTCAGATTCATCAAAATATTCACTAGACTGAAGGGAATCTTCCGAATCAGCTGCAACTAGCCTCCTAGACGGTCCAGCCTGATTTTTCAGGCCTGTTTGGAAGGTCAGCACCTGTTTCAACCACTCAGCATTTTCAGGTTTCATGAAAGGTGTCAAGGAAAAAACGTCCCTAATCTTTACGTCTTTTACTCCAGGTTGTTCTACATTTGTTGGAACAACACGTGGTGATTTGTTTAAAAACCTTTTTAGGCACCTTCTTTCCTCGAGCGGATGTGTATTCTTCACCCAAACTTCTCTTTAACTTTCGAACATTTATTTTCCACGAGTTTAAATTCATTACCTTCTTTTTTCCATTTTTTTGGTGGGCTCATGTTCACTCTGGCCAGCATATGATCTAAAGTCACTTGAATCGCTTGTTTCACTCATTTTTTATATTAACTAAATTTATATCAATGTTTTTACTGCAGACAGGTCGTTACGTGTTTGAATTTAAACGCACTTTTGTTATCTATGCAACAAGGGTGTAGCGCCACCCACGAAACTAATGATTCCCACGCCATCTAGAAGCGGCTGATCGTAACGAGTTTTTGTGATACGAAACTTGATGGCTCTGTGCATGTTTTAATGTAATAACATCAAAACGGGCTTTAGGTACCGAACGCCCTTGTTGCACCCAATGCTTCAATTAAGCTTCAGCATTATGCGGCATTGTGCGGCACTGAGTCGAAAAATGCTCTGTAATTGGAAAACGCACAACATGATTCCTAGTGAAATATTGGAACTGCCTTTAAACAGATTCAAAACACATATCAAAAAACCTGAATGTGTAAGGTATTACACAGTCAATGACTACCTGGAAGATAAAAACGCTTGGCAATAGTTAGTTAGTATTCTTATAATTTGATTTGTGTGTAATGGTGAATGTGGTAAATCACAGAACAGATTTTTTATTTATTTTTTACTTATGTAACTTTAATGACGTTGTGATTTATGACATTTTCCTTTGAATAATTGTAATGTAGAGGGAGGGTAAAACTTGCTGAGTTTCTTACCCGTTCTTCTCAGAACAAGGCCTCCTGGTAGTTTTGCGAACGGATGGCTTAGTCTAGCTCTTTCGCGAATTTTGTAAACGTTTTTGACATTCCTAAGCATGCGCTAAGACGCATCTAAATTGAATAAACGTATTTTGATTTGATTTGATATGGGGACAGCATCACGGCCTTCCAACACACGTAGCTAAGTATCGATAGCGGGTTGCATTGCGTGCACAATGCACATTCCCTTATTTCCCACTGTCACTTGTCAGTGAGATTTATTTCCCGACGACTCAGTTAAAATTCGTCGACTTTATATACATATAATAAGGGATGTGACATTTTGCATAAATCAATTATATTAAATTATATTAAATTATATTTAATTATATAAAATAAATCAAAAAATAATCGATTGATAATCGATTATTTTTATAATTGAAAATCAATCATAATCGATTTTTTATCTGCCACCTCCCGACATTATGTCTGGTATTTTAAAACCCGGACCTCGAACTATTAGGGATATTCGATACACAACGATGTTTACAATGCGATACATTGAATCCGATTCTTTGAAGATGTATTGATATACTCGATACTGGATACATTGATGTTTTTTTGTAAAACATCAAAAGGATGATAAAAGCAGTTAATTTTACAAAAACTCAAGTTTGAATGGAACACTATAATTTAAAAGTAAAATAAATTTATTCAGCAGCACAAGACTACATACAATTAAAACGACAACAAAAATACTGCAATGTGCTACTGAAAAGGACGCTCAGCATTTATCAAAAATCTATCAAAACGAGATTAAGTTAATTTTGATTTTGATTATTCTTAAACGTTAAATTGTGTTTATAATTTCTATTGTTTATTTTTAATTTAAAAAACCATGAAAAATAAAATATTTAGGGTGTTTATTATGAAAATAATTAAAAAATTAGGAAAAAATCGATTAATAAAAAAAATCGATTATTTTTTTTAGAAAAATCGATTATTTATTAATCGATTATTCAATGTTAAAAAAATAATCGATTAATAAAAATCGATTTTTTATGCAAAATGTCACATCCCTAATTATATGTATATAAAGTCGACGAATTTTAACTGAGTCGTCGGGAAATAAATCTCACTGACAAGTGACAGTGGGAAATAAGGGAATGTGCATTGTGCACGCAATGCAACCCGCTATCGATACTTAGCTACGTGTGTTGGAAGGCCGTGATGCTGTCCCCATATCAAATCAAATCAAAATACGTTTATTCAATTTAGATGCGTCTTAGCGCATGCTTAGGAATGTCAAAAACGTTTACAAAATTCGCGAAAGAGCTAGACTAAGCCATCCGTTCGCAAAACTACCAGGAGGCCTTGTTCTGAGAAGAACGGGTAAGAAACTCAGCAAGTTTTACCCTCCCTCTACATTACAATTATTCAAAGGAAAATGTCATAAATCACAACGTCATTAAAGTTACATAAGTAAAAAATAAATAAAAAATCTGTTCTGTGATTTACCACATTCACCATTACACACAAATCAAATTATAAGAATACTAACTAACTATTGCCAAGCGTTTTTATCTTCCAGGTAGTCATTGACTGTGTAATACCTTACACATTCAGGTTTTTTGATATGTGTTTTGAATCTGTTTAAAGGCAGTTCCAATATTTCACTAGGAATCATGTTGTGCGTTTTCCAATTACAGAGCATTTTTCGACTCAGTGCCGCACAATGCCGCATAATGCTGAAGCTTAATTGGAACGTGAATTAGTTTTCAAATGCATCAGCAGAGTGCGCTAAGTCAGTGTTGACAAAAAAATTGGTCTGAATAGAGTTAGCAACCTCATTAATGTATAAATAATGTGGTAAACAATAATTAAATTAATTAAGTGGTGGTTGAAAACTTTTTACGCCTAATTTAATAATCAAATTATTTCATTAAATTTTTTTTACTGAAATAAGAGAAAACCTTTAAAGAATATAAGGTTTTAACAAGCTAAATTAACAGTAAAATATTTAGTTTCATGTAAGAAGTTTACATCATTTACGTTTTGAGTAATATTTTTTAATGATTTCTAAAAAAAATATATACTTTTTCAAAACCATTGCAATTTTTTCTAAAGTATAATCCTGTAAAGTAAATTTGTTTACAGATCCGAATTTTAAAATAAAATTGTATTCATATTTTAAATGTGGAATATAAAAAAAGTAACTATTTATACCTTCATCCATACTAATATTTATTTTTTTAGCAGTTTGAAATAACTTTAATTATTTTCAAAATCTACGACGAAACGAAAGCCTTACAAATTTTTCAAAAATAAATAATATTTCGATAAATGCCAACTTAAAGAAAAATACTGGTCAATTTTCTGTCACTGTGTTGGTATTGTTTGCGAGAGCATTCGTTTTGAGAGTGCTCAATTGTGCGAAGCGTTGCTGTAGTTGGAACACTCAACGTTGAGCATTATGCCGCAAAATGCGCTCTAGTGCTGTAATTGGAAAACGCTAGTTATAGCAGCGTATACGTATAATTGTCTATGATGCACTGCATTTGAATTTGGATTATCTTCTTTTATATTTTGATGTGCGGTGTCATTTATTATAATATAATATATTTTCTCATACAAGTAAACACAATGTTTTCAAGTATTAAATATCCCTAGAAAATATAAAAACGGCTCTTTACAGGGCCACGAATCTATGCAGTTTCTCTATGATTACGACGAAACAAACATTTTATCTTACAAATTAATAACTTTTATTTTCAGATAGGGAAAAATTATTCCTTTTAATACTTAACATAATTTAGCATATCGTTCGTACCTATCCCGTTATCGATATGCACTTGTACAATTCTTACGCACATCACTACTCCTCTCTGTAAGACCTGTAAGTGCGAGCGAGACAGGCTGATAAATATGATTTATGACCTGAAGGTCCCGAAGCGGGAAGCCTCAGTTCATAATGCATCGAATGTAGTACAAGTGACGCTGTATCTCTTAACATATTCTGGGGTTTAAGACAAAATCCTTTTCCGACAATCGTGACCCACTAACGCCAAACGCATATATTATTATGTATGAAAATGGTCACGTGACAAAGCGTGAGCTGTCAGCTGAGTTTAAATCACTGACTTGGAAGACTGCTTCTGTTGTCCACAGATATCTAATATACTGCTATAATCATTTAGGTGTGTATGTAGTGTGTACATATTATATTTATTGTGGAATTGTAATTTGTACCAGTTTATCAACGTTTTATATTCTAAGTGGATTAATGAATTATTGTTTGTCCCTTTTATTGAACAAATTTTTACATATAAGTGTTTTTGATAGTATTATGAACTATGGAATGTCCACATTTATTAGATAACATAGATTCAAACAATATACAAAACATTGTAGACATCGTGACTACAAAGGGATTTGAATGTTCAGGTAACAGACTTTTATATATTTAATAAATTGTCGGTTTAACATAGATTAATTGAAATATATCATTAACTTCTATGTATAAGAGGTTAGCCAGAATAATCAATACAGTAAACTATATTAATCAGCTGTTTCCGAGGTGCGGGGTGGAAGGGGTAAATGACCCTGAACATTGTTTCTATCCAAAGTTATTCCCCATTACATTACAAAGTGAATATTGATTTGAATATATGTTTAAATGAATTTTATTATATATATTTACAAGTATCTACCAAATTTAAATAATGTTGAATAATGTTGAATATGAACCTCTTAAAACAATGGATTTAGCTTTCAGAAAGTCTTAGATAATATTATTGCACAGTTGTAAGTAATATGTACAATTGTAAATAAACAAAATAACTGTAGTAAGTAGCAATAAGTCAGAATTTATATAATTGCGATTTTATTGTAATAGATTGTGGCGTAACTGAGCAGAATTGGCTATGTCTAAAGTGTGGTGTTGTGAGCTGTGGCAGATATGTAAATGGCCATGCAAAATATCACTCGGAAAGTTTTGACCATCAAATATGTATGAGCTGTGATGTATACTCAGTTTACTGGTATGTTATTTAAAATATTCTAATTAAAAAAAAATTAACATGTTTTGTAACTTTGGTTCTAATAATTATCTTTTTAAATATAAAATTCAAAAATATTGTTGCATTTTTAAATTTCTATGACATTTATCAGAGATCTAATTTTTATACTTTTATTTCTGTGGTATTAACATTTGTATCTAAGGTTTTTATTCCTTATAATTCTTATGACTGTAAGAGATATAGCTAGAACATAATTGGACAGTACCTTTTTTTATTTATTTCAGCTATAAATGTGATGAATATGTTGCAAATGATAGTGAAGAGCAAATTATTAATAAAATAAGACAATGTATTATACCTATAAAAAATAAAGGAAATCCAATCAATGAAAATAGTGAACACAATACTAGAGCTGAATCTGCCCAAACTGAAACTTTGGTTTTAAAAACTAGTGGAGATACAAGTGAAGCCTCACACCTAGATATCTCAAATGTACTAAATACTCCTATAAATTCAGTGGAAACCTCTGAAAATCAGGATGACAGGTCATCAAAGGTATATTTGTTAGGTATTTTATATGTGCATGCTGAATTTTATATTTGCATCATTTGATAAAGAATAAAAATATTACTAACATGATTTAATGTTTTTTTAAGAAAATTTTGTCTTTACCCTCAAATTTTAATTTCAATACAATTTTTTTTATAGCCACAAAAGAATAGTGATAATAGTTTTCTCAAATACACTTAATAACCATTACAGAATCCCGAAGAAACAATTAGAAGTCTGCGTCCAAGGTCAAGAAAACGATCACACTCAGATGATAATGCAACGGATGCCATACAGTCAAATAGTAAGGAGAAAAGGTTATCTTCCACAAATGGAAAAAATCATAGAGAAAAGAGAATAGTTGGCTTAAAGAATTTGGGGAATACTTGCTTTATGAATGCTGTCCTGCAGAGTTTAAATAATATACAAGAGTTTAGTTGTTACTTTAGCCAGTTACCATCTCTGGAAGTTAAGACTAATGGTAGGAAGATTTACCATTCGCGAAGTTATACCCGTCAAGAAATGCATGATGTTGTCATGGCCGAAGAACTTAGAAAGGTAAAGCTTTTGTAATTTTTTAGCTTAAACCTGCTAATTGGTGGGGTTGGTGTTAACTGTGGCTTGAGACAAAATTACGTTCCAAGACGTGACCAACTAACGCCATGAATGACATTGGCTCACGCTGGTGACGTGACCATTTCCAAACATTCGCGGTTGGCGTTAATGGCTCCCAGTTGAGTGAAATCACACAGCTTCAATTTAATTTAATTTATATTTTCAGGTGTTGATTAACTTAAACAATGGCGGGTGCAGTTCAAAAGGAGCGATCTCACCTGAGTGCCTATTCTTAGTGATATGGAAAGTGGTGCCAAGGTTTCGTGGATATCAACAACAAGATGCCCACGAGTTCCTTAGATATATGCTTGATCGGTAAGTCGCTTCTTCAGTGCGACAGTTTTTTTTTGGTTTAAGAATAACTTTATTTCTCATAAGAATTGCATACATAATTCACTTACTGAGAAACAATATGTAAAACTAAGATTAGAAATTAGAGCGCACAGATGTAGGTACGTATATAAAATAACAACACAAAACAGAAACGAAAATGTGGGTAGACATAATAAACTTGATCAGTCAACCAAGCAAAACATAGATGTTCGAATTTGATTTTTTACTAGATGTGGCATTGATGGCAAAGTCTGATATAGCAAGTTTATATTAATTATTTTGTAATTGATTGAGGGTTTTAAACGTACAGTTTGGCTAGCTATTGAGAACTTATTTAAAAATTTGTGAGGCGTTTAGAGGTACACGGTTTGTTAAATGTGATCATCTTTTAATATTTATTTAAAAGTAAGGAATCGGCTCCGCCTTTCAGACCGAAAACTTAAGACTTATTGGCCATTAAAATTTGGCAGATAAAAAACTTGTTAATTACGTTTATAGGCTGCATACGGAATTGCTACAACTACTTCCACCCGACAAGGCGGAAGGGGGCTTTGTACCTCGTGTTCCTTCGACTTCCATAGTTACAGCTGTCTTTGGAGGGACTCTGCAGAGTCAGGTAATAAATAATCTTTCATTTATTTATTATGTATATAGTTTATAAAATAGAAGTTTATAGTAGTGCGGTGGAAACAATATGAAATTAAAATTGTGGTTACGAAGATACATTGTAACGTTTGCAAATTATTGTTACAAAACTAGTCGAATTTTAGATTTAGGTTAAAGAGAAAGTTGTTTGTTTATCATCATTTATGATGACTAGTACTTTGCAGTTTTTTGGTTTAAATTTAATTATTTATTTTTTGCTTTGTATATATATACTGCATGTATATTAATTTATTTAACTTTATAAGTGCCTCTATATATTAAGAATTTAATTTAACAATTAGAAATATTAATTCAGCTACGTTAGAAATTATTAAAATTTATTACAGGTATGCTGCCTCGCCTGTGGGACGGAGAGTAAAAAGTTCGACCCGTTCCTGGATTTATCTTTAGACCTACCCGAGTGTGGAAGACACGACGCCCCCGTAACCTTAACTGACTGCTTAGCGAGCTTTGTGCAGGTGATATATTACAGTTAATCTTAAAGGCCTGGAGAAATGGACGAAATTCTATTAAAGACCCAATGAATTAAAACCGTCAATTGACGTCACAACAATAGACCTTTAGCACTCTATTTCTAATAAAATTTTACAGATTTTTTCAGTTGTTCATTAGTTTGGATAATAGAATAAAATCGTGAAACAATTCCACAGTAATTACGAAGGAGTAAAATTTTATTTTTTTCTAAGACGCATTTATTGTACTATTACTAAGATCTCTCTGCAACGGTAGCATAATAGTATTTTATGTGAGTACATAATTAATTCCAACAGTTAGGGTATGGACACATCCCCTATCTGTTACGGAAGTGTATATGGAAATGTAAAAAAAAAACAAAGATGAATGGCATAAGCTGGACGAGGCCTATACCCAAAATGGGCTTCTAACTCTACACTAAAAACCCAAACGAACACCTAACTTTATTTAATATTATATTATAACTAGCTGACCCGACAAACGTTGTCTTGCCATGTATATTATTTTTAGGAAACATTTTTTTAGTTTAATAAAAATAACTATCTACTATAATAAAAAATAGGGGTTGCACGAAGAGGGGTGATAATTAGGGGTTGTATGTATTTTTGTATGCTGTATCATAAAAAAATAAAAACAAAAAAAATTGTCTAAAAAATAAAAATAAAATGATAAGGGTGGACAACCCTTATCACTTAGGGGTATGAAAAATAGATAGAAGCCGATTCTCAGACCTACTGAATATGCATTTAAAATTTGATAAAAATCGGTCAAGCCGTTTCGGAGGAGTATGGTAACTAACATAGTGACACGAGAATTTTATATATAAGATGTATTTATATTATAAACTTTAAAATTCGTAAGTTTGGAAATATAATACTAAATTCCAGGTGGAAGAGTTAGCGGATACAGAACGTTACTTCTGCAGCAGCTGTAAATCCAAACAGAAGTCCACCAAACAGTTCTGGATTCGGCGCCTTCCCAACGTACTTTGTTTGCATCTCAAAAGATTTCGGTGGCATAATTATTTCAGGTAATTTTACATGTTTCTTATAAACATTTCGTTTGTTTTTATTTAATTAACTCTAAATAAGGTATTTAGAGTGAAGTCCCATCACCTTCCAGTGGGGTGGGTCACATTTATGTGTCTGTTTAAGCGATTATTGTTTACCTACCTTCATAATGAATTCGCCGAGTTTCTAATTAAGAATTCGCTATACAAATGCATGACCATTTTTTGTTCTACCTGATGAAGTGTACTATTTACTATAATAATAATACAAATATTGAATACAATGAGATTTTGAGACTATTCAGTATTACAATTCACATATTGAAATGAAATCTTAAGATGCATTTCAAATAAAAAATAAAGGAGAGTAGTAGCATTGACCTAATTAGTTTCATCGTGCCTTCCTAACACAAGGTGGCATTCATACACTGTGCTGATGCAGAATACATTGATATGGATTATTTCTATGAAAGCTTATGTATAGGTCGTTGTGAGGAACTGGCATCTTATTTACAAAAATCGACGTGTCGGCCACAGATGGCTGCCTTCATTTTGCCTCAATACCTTTCTATCTATTACATAAAATGATTTAATAAACAGAGTCATTGACACCCATATAGCGTTTAAATAACTTTTATGAACGTCAAAAAACGCAATGTTGGCCTAGTGACTTTAGCGTGCGACTCTCATCCCTGAGGTCGTAAGTTCGATCCCCGGCTGTGAACCAATGGACTTTCTGCCTATGTGCGCATTTAACACTTCCTCGTACGGTGAAGAAACCGGCATTGGACTAAAAAGTCGACATTGTGACAGGCACAGAAGGTTGATCACTGAAAATTGAAATTGAAATCTGAGGCCCAAACCTAAAAGGTCTGACGGAACTTTAGCGACTTGATTGAATATTGATATTTAATTAAATGTCTAGAGATTCAATTAATTCTCTGATTTAACTACTTTACTGCGACATATATATAGCGATTATTTATCAATTGTGGCAACCCTAATACAGTTTTTGTGATGTTATTTCTAATTCTAGAACGAAAGTGGACACGGCGATATCATTTCCCCTAAATTCCCTGGACATGTCCCGTTTCGTGTTGGCGAATGTCCCGGACACGCGTCGTTCGGGACGCGGGAACTATCTTTATGACCTCGCCGCTGTCATCGTACATCATGGCTCGGGGTGAGATTAAAAACTACTTTATTGTTCTTTTTTTTATAAAAAATTGTCTCTGCACAAAGACACAATTTAATTTTAACTATAACGGATATTTAACATAACTACTTACAGTCTCTATTAAGAGGAAGATACTCTTTTTATTCATTTACCTTTTAAAACTAACGTACACATACACTAATTCACAAATTAGAATGGTTTATAAATGTAATTTAATTATTATTAACAATAAAGTTAATATAGCATTATCATGTACGCAAGTGACGGTAATCCCTCATACGTTTAAATGTTACGGTAGAAAGAAGGTACCCAACGAACTACTAATTCATGATTTTTTTTATTGAATTTCATTAGAACTACTGTAACATATCGAGCTGGCATTGCATACATTTTCACCGACTTAAAAAAAGGTGTGTTCTACATCAATGACGCCCAGTTAAGATAACTTAATTTTCTAATCTGTCAAATATTGGTTTCTGGGGTGGCGAATATTGACTTACTTCATCCTGACATCCTGTATAATATCATATGTTTTTACTTTAATATTAGCTTTTAGTTTTTTTTTTTTTTAGATTTAGTTTGGTAATTGTATAATTCTTAGTGTGACTTGTAATTTTATTTTTATTATGCCCTTCTTGTACTTTACCCTTAATATTTTTTCCTTACTAGGCTTGCCTGCAAGAGATCCCTTGTTAGCCGCCCGTTGCATGCTTTATAATTTTTGTTGGTTTTATTTGTAATGTAACGAAGTTTTAATGATTGAATATACCTTAAAGCTAACCTACTATTTAGAATAATATTGAAACTAAAACATAAATAACCGGACTTATGATTAAATAAGTAAATAATAATTATTTAATTTACCTAAATTATTTCTTTTAGCGCCGGCTCGGGCCATTACACGGCGTTTGCTATCAACGAGGAGCAATGGTTCCATTTCAACGACCAAACCGTGAGGCCGACAGATGCCGACGTGGTAGCCTCTTGCAAGCCCTACATTATGTTCTACATTCGCCGTGAATTTTCCCTCCCTTCGGCCATTTGACCGAATCAATTGACTTTTGAGTTATTCTGACACTTTTTGTTTCTGTCAGATTTGTGCCTATTTATGCCCGAATGTCTGGGTTAGAATATTTGTGTCTGATGATGGTTTTGATGGATTAATTGTTCGGGTCGTTCCGTTGTATTGGATAAGGAAGAGATTGGTGAAAAGGCTTTTGAATCAAGAAATATAAAAATGATTATATTTTTACGGTATTTTTAGGATTTAATTATCTTGACCTGATGCTTACAGGTAAAAATGATAGATTTAAAATTGCATTTTATATAAATGTATTAAATTAAGATTATTAATAAGGTTTATGTGATAAGGTAACATTACCGAATCAAGTTACGTAATCGATTTTCAGCACTTTTTTTCTAGAAAATTTATCTACTGTGTCTAAATATGAAATCGTATTTCCTTTAAAAAAAAATTTAATTACATATATCTATCACCCGAAGCTAGTAAATAAATACTTATTATATTTAAAGTGATTTATCGCGTTTAATTTTGGTCCTTTTTATTGAAATAAAGTACAATACTGTCTTCTGTAAACAGTTACATTTACTCGTTTGAAAAGTTTATATTGATTGCATCACCCACCGATACAAATATTTCTTGCTTAAAGGAAAAAGAAAATACGCGTTTCGATCCGGTAACACTGTAAGCTATAATAGCTTTGTTTTAATAGAAAATTTAAGTAGATATAAGTTTATGTATAAGTTTAGGAAGATCTCGTATACAAGTCTTTAAGAATTCCAGATTTCAATATCATTTTAACAATAGTTAAAATCATTAGAATGAAGAAACTTAAGAAGAGGCCCGTGTAAGGTTAAAAAGTGATGGGCGATTTATTTTTGTGATTTATTTGTAAAATTTAGTCTTTATTTATTCCATTAACAACAGACATTATTAGAATGGAGAAAAGTTAAGAAAGGCCCTGAATAAGTTTAAACGGGTGATTTAATTCTAGAATTTAGTATTTCATTACTTCACCTATTTATATACTGGCAACATTGTAAATTTACGTAATTTTGATACAAACATGCATTTATTTATGTCCATTTGGGACGTTAAACATTCCCATTTTTTTCTTACCGCGTTGCTTAGAGGGTCATACCAATGACCACACCAGTCAGCGAAATAGTTTCGACTTGGATCACTTTAGAACTATGAATTTACGGAACTTCAAATGCGAGCTAATTAATGCTGTACAATATATGTATGTAAGTAAATCTGTTGATTGTCAATAACTAGAAATGGAATAAATTCGAAATTATGTATATGTGTTTAATTTAATCCTTTAAACATCTAACGCACTTAAATAACTTCATGAACCATGATTTTTTCGTATCTACATTACTTATAATGCTGAGTTCTATGGAGGGCATGCTGTCTGTTATAGGCATATATTCGTTCCACTCAGCTGGTTTCAATAGAGGTAAGTTATTTATGAAGAAAGTATTTTCGATTTCTTTTTTTGGAGTTGGAGGCGGCGACTTTCGTGGAGGTAAATCGAGTTGGTAAACTATTGGTGGATCACTGTGTGCTGTTATGTTTTCACCGATCCAATTCCCTTCTAATTTTTCTATTGGATCTGATATTTCACAATCCTTCGACAAAGGCTTTAGACATATCTTAATGTGCGGCTTTTCAAGGAGTAATGTATCATTATCTTGAACGTCCCTTCTGTTACTCTGTTCGTTGGCTATTTGATCTGATCTACTACTGATTATAACTGTTGGTTCGCAGTATACCTTTTCTGCTATATGATCTGCATTGCTTAGTTTTTGAATTCTTGGTGAAAAAGAGTTTTCATTGAAATTAGTTTTTAGATTATTATTTGTCACATTAGTTACTAAAGGAGGTGTGGTTTGAAATGCCTGCGCAGGATTGATGTCTGTAGCACAAGAGGAATGTTTCGTTGGTTCTATAACTTCGGTAAGTGTAGGAAGAGTTGAGGTTAAGTTTAAATTAAGCCGGGGTATAAAAGGAATCGGAGTCGCTAATCGAGTACTTTGGCTTTCTTTAGTTGGCTCTAATTCTAAATCGTCCGTGGAGCTAGTACAACTACTTGAATCCTTACTTGGCATATTTGTTAGAATGTAATCATTTTCTGATAAAGTTCGTCTATTTTTAAAGGAATAAATCCAAATTGTTCTTTTATCTGTGTCAGCATCTTGTGAGAAATATACTTCATCATATTCAGTGTTTTTATCAAAATTCCGATTTGGGTTTGTATCGCCACATTGTATTCTATCAATGTCAACATTTTGATCGTCCGACGAAGTGCTTGATGTTCCCAAATTATTTGGGATAGTGAAACAATTCACTTGTCGATTAGCATATGACTTGTAGTCGTGATATTTTGAATTATCTCGTTCAAAGCAGTAAAAACTGGGATAGGTTTGTTCAGGGCCACGCTCTTGATTGCTAGTGGTATTCGCTAAACCGTCCGTAGATTCTTTAAAACGCCGTCTCTCTCTGGCTGTTTTATTTATCCTGTAACTATCTTCATCAGAGTATAGATCTTGACTAATAAATGACCATGGATGAATTTCGGGTTCGTAGTTAAAACTATTGTCTGTATTATCTCCACAGTCGTCTGAAGAGTTATTCAGTTCGACTATTTCTACGGCGGTGTTTTGTCTACACTCAACAGGATCTAATGAAATGCTGGGGTGCACCACATTACGATTGATATCTGAAAAATAAATTTGCGTCAATAATACTTAAATAAGTAATGTATAACTACTTACTTAAATTACTAAATACTTACGACTATAAAGAGGAAATTTTTTATTGAACATAATATTTTGATAAAACTAAAATAATATATTATAAGACTACAGTTATGTATCTACTGTCAATGTCTCTTGTCACGTAGATATAATTTTTCTTCATTATTCTTATAAATATGTCACAAAAAGTTTTATATACCTAATACTTAAGTTACATATTATAAGTAAGTTAAATAATTCGAAACTAGGTAGCTACTCTGCTAACGCTGGCAATACACATTGAGAAAGTGTAGGTATATAAACATTATATAGGTTTTGTAATATTTTATAAAGGCTCAAATAGTCGAGATAGCCTTTACAAATTAATTATAAAATATGTGTCTTGTGAGTAAAAATACTATTACAAAAATACGTCTTTGTTTTACAATACCTATTGTACCTAAGTAGAAACTGTTCGCTTATCTAGAGGTCGCTCTTCGCCAGTCCATAAACAAGAACAATGTGAACAGAACGTCCGATAAAAGCGAAATAAAAAGGTCTTCCACTACGTTAGCACTCAAAAATATTTTCCAACAGAGCGTAGAGTAAAAGCGGCAATTTAGTTGTCGCTAAAAGCCATGGCTGGCGGTGTAGCGACGTGTAGTGAGAATGTTGGCGAAACAAAGTGTAAATGGAATGATTGCGCCAATTCTCCTACAAAGGGAGACGAAATTGCATTAAAAGCTCAGTGGCACGGGCCATTTGTCGAGCACTTACTCCATTAGACGCGTCCAAATAACATTATTGATGTTACTCAGATACGAACAAAATTAATTCAACATTATGTTCATAATTTAAAATCTAACACTTTCGCAATTAGCACAAACCATTTTTTTAAATCTTATCTACTACAAAGGAGACTATCCGAGGTTATTTCTTTGTTAGGTTGAAAGAAAAACACATTGACGTTCTTTAATAAGGCAGTGAGTGTTTCTTATTAGTAAGTATACTGTATAAGGAATTTCTTTATTGCCTTTATAAGTAGGTATTTAAGGCACGTCTCACCACGGACTTATTCTGGTACCTAGTTAGTTTGTTCCCAATTGCGGGAAAGTAGTTGCGCGAAATGTTCATAAATGTGTCTGTTTCGTGCATAATCCTAGAAGTTCTATAAGCTAAGTTTCCCAATGTGAAGCGTGTCCGCGACAAAGGTTAATTAATTGAATTGCAGCGAGAGTGGCGCGCGGGCACTCATCGTGCGCTAATTCGCAAATTAGCAGAGCGGCCTTTGTTCAATTCATTGTTACCGATGTCACATTTATCTTAAATTACTTCACGCCTAAAATGGCTCATTCATTAGAACGATTAGCTGGGTATCTATAAAAGCAAATAGACCGTACTAATCTAAACTCAACGTTCAGACTCGTTTAAATTTAACGTTATTATACTGCGGTAATTATACTACTGCTGATAAGTTTCAACGATAATAATAAAATTAAACTAAATTTTATTCCCTAATGTAAACAGACAAATTCAATTACATTCTATTTCCCAAATATTTACGTAATTATTTCCATCTTAGCACAAAACAATTCACGAATAAATTAACGAAAAAACTCGCACAAACCTTCCATTAAGAAGGTACTCTGTCGGCCAATGCGCGTTATAATTTGAATATACTTTTGTCTATCAAAATATTTTTAATTGGTTTTAGCGTTGGAAAATAGTGTAGTCTATGATTAGCGGGTTTCAAGCTGTATATTTGCTTAATGGAAGGCGAGATAAAAGCTAGCGCTATCGGACGTATCAGGGGCGTAATTAGAGGGGCAAAGTCGCCGCTCTGGCGCTCTTCCTTTACATGCCACTTAAACCTACACTGCCTTCTCACACTTAGCTCATTACGTTTAAGGCGTCAAGATTTGCACGCCAAATCAGATCATATAACACAGTAGAGTTTCTTAAGGTAGTATCTGCGACGTATTGGTAACGATTATTATTAATCTTAACATTTTTTATGATAGTTAAAATAAATATTTAGTATTTGATGGTAATTCCTATTTGTATTTCTGTTAAAACATTCAAATAATCGATAGTGCTATTTTTATTTTTTATAGCAACATTGATTAATAAACCTCGTTCGTAAAGGACATCTGTTTGATATGCCTACATTTAAAGTGTGCTGCTTTTAGTGAAATTGCTTAATAAATATTCAAGAAAAAACTTAATAACACAGTATCGGCGGACGTTAATTGCAAATTGTTGGTGCATTAGCGCTTTGCCGTCATGTTATTTTTACATAACCGCTATTATGTTTGATAGATGCATAAGTACCTATACGCCGCGAGAACTATAGGTAGTATGTATTTTAATAGTGCATGACCTAAAGCTAATCTGTAGCATGAGTTAGTAGAAGTATTACTAAAGTTAGTGAATAAATTAGTATAAAATCATTATCATTCATTTAATTTTACGCAAACTATTTGGTCAAATTCATAGATATTAAACTGTTTACTGCATTATTAAAGTTGTTTCTGTGCCACAATAAAATACCTAAATTATAATATTTAAGAACGCATTGAAATGACTGATCAAGGTTTTATTTGCTTGCTATAGCAATAGACGTAGGCATAGATAGAAATGGTAGAGTATTGTGGGAAACAATAATAAAACAGATAAAAAACTCGCTAGCGCCTGGGACTGTAAACATCCAAACAATCACTCATGCCGACTCGAGTTCCTAATTTTCAGGGATCACAAACTATTGTCGAATTGTGTCTTTTATTATATTTATTAGAATATTGTTTTATTATATTATATAATATTGATATTTTTATTGTCTATATAATTTGTTAGCGTATTTCATGTACCTACTATAAAATATATTGCTTTAGACATGCATAAGTTTATTAAATTTCCACAATAATTTAACCCTTTTTTTTACAGCTTATTATTTATTATTCTTCTAGATTCTAAAATGTTAAGTGATCTGAGGTCATGCTTGCTTTTGAGCACATTCCGTGTGTATTTTTTTTTAATGTCTGTATAAAGCCTTTAAGTGAAAATAGAAAGTGCGATTAAATATTTTGAGTTATACGAGAGACATCATATATAACATATAAAACCATATTGAATAATGTGGTAAAATTTACGGAAACGGTTTTTATTGACACGGTTCACATATCTCAACATATCCTTTTTTTAATTATGAAATGAGGAAATCGACGTCTTATTATTTTAGTAAACAGCTCTGGCAATACCATTACAACATCGAACGTTTGACGCATCTGTGGATTACTGTAAATGGAAGGCATGATTTGACACTTTCGAGCAAATGTTTTAGGAAATGTCGGCGTTCTCTCTGTTATCTAACAGGCTAATTCTAACTCCCAAGCGCCTAATTGTCACGTTTTCACACAAAATTACTATTTAATTCTACACTTACAATATTAACCCAAATCTTTTATATTTTTATGTGGTGAAAGGTACAAAACACGAATTAAGTGCAACTTGTAAGGAAAACGGGTACTATTTAAGTTTAAGATTGAGATAGTGTTTAAAAACCTATTAGATTAAGCTTTTAACACTTAAAATTAATTCCATTTATTACTTCATCTATTACTTTATAACATCAATGTTAAATATCCTTCGTCGCACCTCATTTCTTATCCGCTACGTGTATTTATCGATTGCGCAATCTTTTGCATATTTTCGATTTTACACCGAGTAATCATAATAAAAATAGGCTTCTTCGCAAAAATAATAAAAATGACCGATGCAACAATAAAAGGAATTGAAACAGGAATAGCAAAAACTTGAAAGAGCTTTTGGGCGAAGAAGAGAAATAGAGCGGTTATGAAAAATACGATAACATATGGACCTCAAACTTAGGCGCTGGCTAAAGCGCAGCATACAAAACAAAGTGTCAAAGATCGATGGAACGTTGTATGATAGGAAAGAGAAGAATATATTAAATAGATAAATAATTAAGAAGAATAACTAAGATAGCAGATGTCACAATGAAAATAAATAAACTTCAGTGGAATGGGCGGGGCACATGGCAAGAGGAACAGAGAAGTGGAGAAATATAAATGTAAATAAAGTATTGGAAATAAAAGGCTTTTATTATTATTGAAGTGGAACTTATTTAGGCGCATGAGGGTAAATTTTTTACGGATGAAACGCAATAATAATGTTAGCGTCACGAAGATGTGCAGCGTTTTTGTCGAAGAAAATTGAGACAGCGATTGAGACCGATTGAGAGAGAGTCATATTACCTTATAGAAATTCTATTACTGAAATTAAAATTTCGTAAAGAGAATTTATGAAGTATTAGTAGGTATTTTATATTTTATTCAAAATAATTTATTGAAATCTCTAATGACGAATTGTAAATTAAAATGGCACGTGTTTTTATCATCGAAGAAATAAATTATAAAAATTAAATTTATAATCTGTATTAATTTTCGACACTTTTAATATTTTAATGACAATTAAATTCATTAAATTCCTATCATATCTTCGTTTTTCCCCTCCCTCTAAGTCTCGGAAATCTAAAGTTTTAGATTTGTATAAATATGAAAAAGACTTAAAAATTAGTTTGCCAAAGAAGTTTCACTTCTGACGTACCTATGTACCTACTTTGTACGTACGCACTTTTTTTATTATTATTTCACTTGCGTAACGTTAGGAAACAAATATCAAATATGTTACGGATTGACCAATGTTTGAAAAATATTAACAGAAAAGCGCTAACTTTTCTCCACTCATCCTGGATACACAGTCAGCGCTTACACTACACTTCTATTAATTATTTAATATCAAAATACAGTTTTTGGAATAGGTATGTTTGGTACTCTACATGTCTGTTTTAAGCTGCTAACAACCTTACGATGGAACAGTTATTGATTCGCTATTGTCATGACAATAACGCAGATGTAAGATGCCACTTGGAAAGTAACGAAATCAATGATTTGGGCCCCACATGAAAATAAATACTCAACAATAGTGGAGCGACAACAAAATAATTTTACTCGCTATATCTACTCGCTTATGTATCCGGTATTGGTACTTACGGGTCTGGCAGGATACAC